ACAATAGTTTTTGTCAAAGTAAATAAGTGAGGTGGTTCACCATATAGCTTTGCTTGATTCATGAAAGTGAAGCATCCCCTTGTAGACCTGATGCTTAGCATACCTATTTTAAATCTCCCCTGCCAAATCCTTGAAAAATGGCACTGTTTAAAATTGGTGACTTGCTGCTGAATGCTGGTGATCTTGGGAGGCTATGAGGGCCATAGAAATTAGGCTTGTGTTGTGGAAGAATGGCAAAAAGAAAAACTTCCTTAATAGAAGAAGAAAAGGGGTAAAACAAACATATAGAGACTAGACTAATAGAAGTTAATGGGAGTCACCTAGCAGAAGAATCTATCTGAAACCAGAGGAGCAAGAAAGAGACAGCTTTTGGGAAAAGAGAGGCAGTGGTTCAATTCACACATCATGCTGATCCATGGATTACTGAATAAACCACAAGTGGCTGGGTTGGCATAGCATATTAACCCATCAATCATAGTTTGCAAACTACAGTGGTTGGGTTCATACAACACACCAAGTAAAAACCAGACAAAGCATAGGCTTAATTGCTGTGTGAACTAGGATCAAGAATAAAACTCTAGGATTCAGTATTGTTATATAGGTATAAAACCAATTTTAAAATTTCTAAAGAAAGTCACACAATTGTAGCAATAGCTACATATATGATTTTAGTAGCAAGATTTAATCGACTTATTGCTGAAGGATGAAAGCCCAAAACCATGTTTTCTTAGGGTGGTTTTGAATGCTATCCCAGAGACATGGAAGTAGCAGGCTCCATGCTGCTGAAAATGTAAATAACCTAACTAGATGAGCAGAACCAATTTTGTAGAAAAGACACATACACTTGAAGTTTACCCATATGTTTATACTACTTAAATGTATAGATGCATGGACATCAAATTGTAAGTGAGCATGGCATGAATTTTAAGAAACTGAGTATGATATTTATTAATAAAAGCAACTTTCCAGATGTGGTGGGACTGCAACTCACAGAAATTCTAGTCACTGGGGCCAAAACTTCCATCTTCTACTGCTTTTAGGCAGATGACCACAGCTAATCTTTCATGGGTGCCTGGTTTTACGTAAGTGTGCCTAACATACACACATGCATACATATATGTGTACAAAGCAAAGCACACTCCTCCAGCTGATTATGATATTAATTTCCTCAAAATGTATCTGGGCCCCTTATGAACCCAACACTCTTTGGGAAAAACATGACAGGCAGCTTGCACTTATCCAATTAAAATGCTAAAAGAAAAACAAAGGTTGCTGTCAGTGCTTAGTGGAGGTGAGGCAGAGGGGAGGAGACAGACTGGTGTAAATGTCAAATATAAAAAAGGAGAAAGGTAGAGGAGATGATCCAGGGAGAGGGAGGGAAGACTGATAAGGGGAAGGAAGAGGTTAGAGGAGGTGGTAGAAAAACCTGTTTGCACATGACACACTGAACCACAAATTAGCCAATCACATTTTAGCCTAGTGTATTGTATGAATCCAGCCAGTGTGGTTAATTCAGGGTGTGATGTGAATCCAGAGAATGGAGTTAATTGAATAAAGCATGAATAAATATGTTGTTGCAAGATAGCAAACAACCAAAGTGGGAGAAAGGAAAGTAATGCAACACAGGATAGGAAGGAAGGGGGAAAAGTGAAAAAGTCTGAGAAAGCAGCAGAAGATCAGGATGTCATAGTGGCTGGGACATTATAGAGGGGGAATTTCAGAGAAAGAGAAAATGAGATGCTGGGGTGCTCATAGAGTGAGCAAAGAAGGAAGAATTTTGCATGTACCCACAATACACGCACACATGCACATACACAGAGATACAAGTGACATAAGATTCCTCTAAACCCCCATCAGATTCATCTGTCTGAAGTCCAGATTACTTAGCAGACATACTGGATATTATGCAAAAACATAATGAAAAAGTTTCAACCCTAATCACCAAAATAGTACATAAGTACACATAAATCAGAACCAAGGTTTATAAACTTGCCTCTCTCAGACTTATTGCAGGAATCTCAAAGAGCTCAGTGTTTCTGGAATGCCAGGTTCCAGAAAACCTGGGGGAGAGGAAAGAGAAAAACTGAGCAAGTTTGAGCAAGCAAGCAAGCAATCAGATGGTAGAAAACTATTTGTTTTCCACACAAGGCTGACAGTAGAACCAAGAAAGATCATAATAAATACTGGAGACACGGGATCAAACAGAGGGTGTTGCCACATCCTGGGTGGGTTGCCCCCACCCCTGGCAAGGACCTGAAGGGAACTAGCCTCTTCCTGTTTTTTTGGCAGCACCTGTCTAGCTTGTCCTGCCAATGCACACTTACAGAGAATGTAATGGAATGTTGCTTGGGAAGTTCTTGATAGGGCTTGAAGAGCAGGAAATACCCTAAATGATGAACTGTCCCATTCTTCCTCTGGGCCATATGGAATACTCATCTGGAGATCTCATTTGTATAGGGTGCTTAACAGCTACAAAAAGTCTCTACTTTTTCATCTCCTTTTTTGTTTTTGCAAACTTTAATAGCCATCAAATTAACCCTTCATCATCCCTTTGAGCAGACGGTAACTCTATAAATGGGAACGGCTAATAATATAGCTATGCAGCTCATGTACATCATGTAACAGCAGAAGATGCGAAGTCCTTTGTATGTGATTGAATTAACTCATATTCCCCTTGAAAGAAGCTTATTGAAATACAAAAGCAACGTATTTTTCAAATATACACAAGAATGTCCTTGAAATTTAAATCAAGATTCATAGTTAATTGAAGTCAAGATTTGGCAAACCATATTTACTTTGATATATGCTGATACTTAAAAATATAATTACTGCTTTTTCCAATGTCCTATTCTAAAAGAGTCAAAATAGATGGTGTTCCTGGCATCCTACAACAAGAGGAATGGAATGACACAGAACAGATAAATATTAGAGAAGTCACAGAAACAAAACCATTATTCAGAATGGTCAAAAGAATAATATGGGCTGGGAACATGGATGAGAGGCTGTATTGGCCTCATGTCCTGCCATAAGTTTCCCAGAGGCGTTTTGTTGGACTCATGTAGGAAGCAGGATCCTGGATAAGATAGGCTTTTCGTTCAATTCAGAAATGTTCTTCTCAGTATACTTGCACCTTCCTGTACCTTCTCTTTGGTGGAATACAGGTATGCTGGTTTGCAAAGCAGTCTTTAGATTAGAGAACCTAGCTTGCATAGAATAACATGAGAAACCTTAGAGCAAAGCTGGTCTTTCTCTGTATTTGTGGCATACTGGCCCAAATGTGTCACAACTGACTGCTATTATCCTTACAGTTAGCAGGGAATGTGACATGTGGTATGAGTATAATTTAAAAATATTATGTGAAAAGCTAGATTGATCAAAAATGGGCCCATTGGTGATGACTGTGGCTTGGACTGTAAGTGAAATAAGTGGTAAAGCAGAAGGCAGGCAGGCAGGCAGGCAGGCAGGCAGGCAGGGTTGTGTATCTGTGAAACTAAGAAACAGAGAGGATATAACAGAACTGTTCAAAGGGGGCTGATCTTATGGAGTTCATGAATACATACAAACAGGGAAGTGGATTTAATTATAAATGAACTAGTTCAAATGTAAAAAAAAAAATGACTTGGTCTCATTTAGATTGTTGTGGGGCCATATATAAGTAGGAATCCATAGGTTGGTAATAGCTGTACGATATGATCTAGTGCAGTGTTTCTCAACCTTGGCTGCTTGAAGATGTGTGGACTTCAACTCCCACGATTCCCCAGCCAGTTGAAGTCCACACATTTTCAAGCAGCCAAGGTTGAGAAACACTGCTCTAGTGAATGGTGATAATGAAATTGGGGGAAAGTCTAGGAGAAAAAAAAAACCCATGCAACATTTGAAATGAATGTGATCCAGGATCCAGAAAACAAAATTATTCTGTTAGATAACATGAATGGATGGGTGAGAACAAGATGAGAGAGTGAAAGACCTACAAGTGACTGGGCTATTGGGAGACATACAAATGAATAAGAATGGTGACCAGTTGGGGGTCAATTTGTTTTTTAATCCTATTTCTTGCTCATTTGCTCTGCTTGGCATTACATAGATTTTATGGCATTACATATATTCCTCAGAAAGGAATAGTATGATGACTATGTATGAATGTATAAGTGTAACAACTAAACTGAAAAAAATAATGGATCCATTGCTAACATGAATTTGAAATGTGAATAGTTACTGTAATTGATTTCCTTTCAGTTAGGGAGACTAGATCTCGGGTGTAAAACCGTGGACGACCACAAGATAGCAGCAAACAGAAACTCTCTAACTCCGGATTTTTGCAACTCAGACCTGGCAGCCTCCTCAAATTCATCACCAGATCAGAGATTACATTTCTGCAGTTTGTGCATTAGAACAGTACAAAATGTTGGCTTCGAATAATTTTGCTGTGAAATCGATGCCGATAAACAGTGTAGCAATGTAAAACTGTCAGGATCCAAATTGTTCGTATCACTATTTTTTTCTGTATTTTGTATAGCGTATTCTGCATACTGTAGTATTTTGTAGAATATTATTACTGATTTTGATTTAGTTCGTTTTCAAACAAGAATACTTAAAGCTACAGTTATAACCTTTTTTAGTTATAATCCGGATTTAAAAGGATGATACTTTTGAATAAGTTTAAGGGTCAAAGAAGTGCGGGAGGCTACTGTTCTGCCTATGAGGTCCTCAAGGAGAAACTCAGCACGAACGGAAGGACAGAGAGCAAATGGCTGCCCCACGGCAGATGGAGAACATTACAGCCCAGTTTACGCTTGATCCAAAATAACGGCCATTGCAAACCATAAGCTTGAAATCCGAGCATAGACGCGCATCTCCCATTCTCCCCCTTCCCCAGAAACTCCCCCGCTTCCGCCCTTCCAACTGTCACTGTCCAAGCCCCTCCCCTCTCTTAGGCCCCTCCCCCTCCCGTACGCTCCTCGCGACGGTTCCTTTAGTGTTTGGTGCGCGTGCGCGCAGCAGGCCCTGGCTGACTCCTCCCGGCTCGGCCTGCGCGCAGGCAGGCGCGGTGTGTGAAGGCCAGCTCTGAGCTGCGCGGCCTGACTAAACCTCTGGGGCGGCAGAGCCCGGTCAAGAGGGGGAAGGAGAATGCGACCGGGCGGGGGGATTGGCCCAAGGGCGTCCAGGCCGCTGTTACCGCTGCTGCTGCTGCTGCTGCTGCTGCTGCTGCGGGAGGCGGCAGGGGAACCTTGCGCCGCTGCTGCGCCTTGTTCTTGCCGGCGAGGTGTGTTGGATTGCAGCCGCCTCCGCCTCACCGGCCGGAGCTTAGAACCAGGCCTGCTTCCAGCTTTGCCTCGCAGCATCACTGCGCTGTGAGTATCGCTCCTGTCGGGCCGCGGCGTCTTGTCTCTGCCCGTTGCTCAGCGGGTCTGGGAGGCTTCACCTGGTTCCTTCAGGGCGGAGTGGGGATCTGGCAGGTGCTTCTCCTTCTCCGTAGCAGTAGATTTGCTCCTGAGGTCTGGCTTTTAGCGTTTTCTTTGCTAATGATCGCAAAGAGGAATTCCGCTCTTCCTTTCGTTGGTTTACCTGGACTGGGAGGCAAAGCGAGTTGTATGCAGAAGCGGAATCAGAGATGCTGGCTCGCTCTGTGTCAAAATATCTACCTAGTTTTCTCTTCCCCTTATCTCTTCCTAACTCTCCGGTTTTGTAGTCTATAAATTATAGGGATAAAATCAACTCACAGTATTTTAAAAGTTTCAGGGAGCAAGGGAAATCCTGCAGTGTAGTTTTCCTGACAGTTTGTACCATCTGTCTCTTCAGTTTCAGCTAGATTGCTTGAAACTTAGTAAAATTTTTGGTGGGGTGTATTATTTTGGTTGGATGTTTAAATCGGCACTCTAATATTAAGACATCTATCAGATTTCTGAGACAGCCAGTTTGGTTTAGTGGTTAAGGCCCTGGACTAAGACCATTCAGACCCAAATTCTAGTCCTGCCTTAGGGCATGTTGGTGACCCTGGGCCAATCACTCTCTCTCAGCTTTAGGAAGAAGACAATGGCAAACCACTTGTGAAAAAAGTTGCCAAGAAAATTGCATGGACTTATCCATGTAATCACCAGGAGTCAAGACTGATTCAAAGGCACCCCCCCAAAAAAGGTTTTTGAAGCCCAGAATAAGGGATAGCCCCCAGAATTATTTTAAGATGTACTCCAAGAGTGTTAGATACGAGATTGTTGACAGTGAGCTCTGACAAGTTCTGTAAATTGTAGCCCAAAAAAATCCCTAAGAAAATTGTGCTGCTTTAGAGTAATTGCATAAATTCTTTGCCTTTCATATGAAATTAGGCATTTATTGATTTAGCCCAAATTGATATCACTTAATATGTTGTTAAACTGAGCCACATTTGTCACTTTGTTCTCTATTTTTCCTGTTGCTTTGGGGTGTTCCTCAGTTCTGGTTTTGTTTTGTTTTGAAAATTCTGAATAATAAGTTGTCATCTGCAGTACCACCTGACTGTTCATCCTTATCTCCAGAAAATTAATGATTAAGTTACAGAACTTTGAGAAAGCTCATGTACATCCTCTGTTGTGATATTTATTATGGCCACACCTCTTGACTATAATTTCATTTATACACTCATGGTAACCACCCAGAAAATGGAATTTGAGGTCATGGTGCCTCAGTCCAATATGAGAGAGCTATGTAAGATAAAAAAAATATTAGCAAAAGGATTAAAAATAGATTTAAAAGCTAATATTGTCATAGAAATCTGTGATGTTATCAAATTTGGAATACTGTACACAGTTTCAGTCCAGAAAATATTATTGTTTGGCTCAAAAAACTACAACGGTAACTCCCAAATGTGAAAGTGACATTTGGTTTTTAAAAATGCAGCTAAAGGGGGAGATAACTGAGAAGTATAAAATTATGCATGGCCTGGCAAAGATTCACAGATGCGTTCTTTCTCTTTTTTCGATACTAGAACCTAATTAAACTAAGTTGAATTGTACAAGATCTGTGACAAGTAAAAGGAAGTTAGTCTTAATCACAATAAAATAGTTTTGTTTCTCAGAATAAATTATGGTTACTATGGTAGTTTTAAAAGAAGATTAGACTAATTTATGAAAAATAATATTATCAGTAGCAACTAATCATGTTAGTTATATAGCCTACCCAGGATCTAGTACAATATATTAATGTAAGTGTACTTTAATATATTGTACTAGCTCCTGGGTAGTGGTAACAGGAAAGCTTTATGCATGTAAGATTCCCATACTCATCTTGTTGGTAATTGTGGGAACAGAATGCTGGATTAAACAATCCTTTTGTAATGACATTGATTTTTTTGAGATACTTCAGTCTTGTTAATTCTTTCTAGACATATTGGACAGATATCTGGAATATTATTTAATTATACCTTGGAGTGATAAACTGACTTAAGTTACAAGTTTTTTGTTTGAACTTTTTAAATAAAGTATATTAAGCATTAGGTATATATAATTGATATGCATTGGGTCATCCTGTTTCAGTGGTTCATTGTTTCTTCTTCTCACAAATGTTCTCTTCATGGCTTCTTGTTTCTGAAAGACAAATCTCTGGACAGTTCCTCATAGAATAGGTTGTCTGTGTTCCTTTACAGAGTGCCGTTACAAGCCTACATATGAGTGTTGTAGATCAATTTACTATCACTTAAAACTTTCTCAAATGAATCCTGGAAATTTAAGTTTGATATGGTTCCTGTGATTATTGAGGAGTGGAATGGTTAAACAAGTTTAAGACTATAGTGTTGATCTGGCCGGTTTTGTCCAGCATGGGATAGATTATGTGACAAGCATTCATTTTATGCAAACAAGATGTTTATATGATAACAAATATGCAAAATATATGTGATACATGATGGAAGATATCTGCTCATATGAATAGTATTTTTTGGAGGATGGTGACTGTTGATTCTGAGACTGATTCTGAGAAGTTTTTTTTCTGATCTTTCCTAGTTAATCTTAGTAATTTAGTTATGGAAACTAGTTGCTCTGCTGTTTAGTAGCATCTTGCTGCGCATAATAGAGGAAGTCATTTGTTCCTGATGACTTCCATAGAAACATTAATGCAGTTTTCTTGGCATGGCAGAAAACTAGTTTATTAGTGTCTTCTAGAACTTTTTTGACTCCACAGTTTATCCTGCAACCCTGGACTTTCTAGATGCAAGTCCAAGTACCAATCAGAATTAACCTTTCTTAGCTTTTCAGCTAAAGCAAGATCAGCTACCATTTAACTAGTTTAATTGCCTATTAGGCAATTTGAAATCTGTGAATATTATTAAGGGAAGTTTGGGATGGATTTTCATCACTTTTCTAAATCTGTTAGAGGAAGCAGAGGGTGGGCCAAAACAACATTCTAATATTTAAAAAAAGAACTTATGACAATTTAAAGATTAACATTTAATTAACATAATTAAAGGTTCTGTAGATTTGAACTGTTTGTCAAAATGTATGAAGTAATATCCTTGGTTGGCAGATGATATTAGTTCAGCGACCGTTTGAAGTTACGATGGCACTGAACAAAGGGCGTTATGACCAGTCCCCGAAGTTATGGCCGTTCCAGCAACCCCACGGTCATGTGATCAAAATTTGGGTGCTTGGCAGCCCACCCGCACTTACAATGCAGGGGTGCTTCAACTCCCCCCCACCTATCTCCCCTCCATCTATGCCCTTGCTCTCCTGTACTCCACAGACCCTGCCACCCTAGCTGACCTTCGCCATCTTCTTGCTCCCGCTGCAGACCAAGCATGCCCGGCCTGGCCCTTCGCGAGGCAGTTGCTGACTACACAAGGCTTTCTTCCCAAGGTCACTTACGGCAGTTTCCTCGCAAGCCAGGGGTGGGCATGCTTGGTCAGCAGAAGGAGCAAGAAGACAGCGAAGGTCAGCTGGGGTGGCAGGGCGGTAGGGGCCTCGGAGTGCAGGGTGGTGAGGAAGACTGTGGCTGGGACTGGGCTGGCGCAGCTGGGTCTTCCTGGGATGCAGTGGCTTTGCACCGCGCTGCTCGGTTGGACTGGGTCTGGGCTTTGTACGGTGCAAAGGGGCTTCCTGGCATGCTGCAGCTCTGGGGCTTTTTGCTGGGGCTGGGCTTAGCGGCAGAAATTGCAATCCCAGTCAAGGACTACCTGTATGTCTATTTAGACAATTATAAT